TTTTTTTGCGGTATGTGGGCCTCTCACTGTTGTGGCCTCTCCCATTGCGGAGCCGGACGCGCAGGCTCAGCGGCCATGGCTCATGGGCCAAACCGCCCCAAGGTATGTGGGATCTTCCCGGACCGGGGATGAACCCATGTCCCCTACATCGGCAGGCGGACTCTCAACTGCTGCGCCACCAGGGAAGCCCCAAAATAATTCTTATCTTCCCTCTTCCTGCTGGTTACACAGACTGCAATGAATGGTACATGTGTGCGAGTTCCCTCTTCAGAGCTTCCCAAGTCCATTTTAAATGAGATTTTCTTTATATATTTTCATAGGGCTCATGCACTGTTGCCCTACACAGTGGACATGGGTATGTTTTTCTGTCCTCTCCGGACATTGCAAATACGAAAGTCAAAGAAACAGACATAGAAAGCCAGACAACATGGAAGTACAGCTGTTTTCTTGGTGCATGGATATCTGTTTAATGTGTTCTTGAGTGGATAATTGGATAAGGCAGGATCATGAATGGAAGAGAAGGGCTGAGGGTGCAGGTACAGAATTGCCAGCTTCCTCCCAAATAAACACCTGATCTGGATTGTCAATGCCTCAGGGACATCGTTGCTGGTCTCCTGGTTCCTCACCATGAGCAAGCAGATGCTGGATAACTGCTCTTGGTGATTGTGTTGCAGGAAGTTTTGTGAACAGGAAAAGAAGAAGGCTCGCACTTGTTGCTGTCTCGGCAGTTAAAAGTGGGCCATGGATGATGATCACAGATTCAGGAAGAAACGGGGTGGGCTCAGGGAGGGGCCTCGAGGTCACAGGTGAAACTCTGGGGTCTGATCCAAACCCAGAAGCAAAAGCTGGAGTTTATTTAATGGAGTTCCATTCATTTATTCAGCAGATAGCAACTGAGCACCTACTAAGTGGCCAGGCCCCAAGTGAGCTGCGGGAATACAGCAAGAAGCAGATTCTCCTCTGTCTCCCACGAGCATAGAGCTACGTGCTCAAGTGGTGAACACTGAAGGAGCCCAGAAAGGAAACAGTCTGCCCGTGACTGGTGCACAGACGGCTGCCTTGCTTGACTTCTCAGTCCTCCTCTAAATCAGGTTCAGCTGACTCTCGACTCCCCTGCCACCAAGAGAGAGGGCAGCGGGGTGTCCCCACCCCAGACCAGGCAGGCTGCTTGCTTTGTTTCTCAGAGCCACCCTGGCCGTTTCAGACGCAGCCAGCCCAGGAGCTTAGACCAGAGGCAGCTGTGGGGCGTGGGCCTGGCAGCAGGCAGGCCTGTGGGCGGGCAGACAGGCAGCAGGAGAACACTCAAGAATTAACCCAACCAGGGACGGGTGTCTCCTCAGAGGATCACGGACATCCCCTCTCCTGCCCTTTGACGGTACCACCCCCAACTTCCAAGGCCTGGGCGATGGGGTTGATTCCCATGGTAATTTGGGGGAAACAGTAGAGCAGCCTCCCCATCCTCGGGGGTTTTTCGTTTTGAAGTTAGCCAAAGGGACTGTTTGTCTCAGAACCATGGTCCCCTGAGGATGGAGATGAGCCCTCTGGAGCTGGAGCCCAGCTCTGAATAGGTGGGCCCAGGGTCTGGAGGCCAGGTCAGGCTGCCCACTGACTGGGGATGGGTGCTCCACTGCACAGCCTCTCAGGGGGCACTGCCCACCGCCTCAGAGCGGAGGAGCAGGGAAGGGCCAGCCAGGAGGCAAGCGGGGCCTATGTGCACTTGGCCCCATTTTCCTGCACCCCTCCCTCCCTCTCTCCTGCTCTGTCCCACTCTTTGGCTCTCTCTTCAGATTGAGACATGGCTCGGGAGCCCAAGCCCGGCCCTGCCCGGCCAGGCCAGAAGAGGCCATGGGGCAGAGCCATCTCCTGGTGAGTCTGCCTGGGGTTGCCTACCGGGGAGGGAGTCTGATCACCAGCTTGTTTGGGGCTCTGGGCTCCCCTGGGACAGAATGAGAACCCCAGGAGGCTTGCTCAGTGTGCTGTCCGCCCAGCCGGCCAGGCTGCTCGTCTTACTCTCTGTGGTACCAGAGGAGGTCCGGGCTCCCTTGGCCACAGGTTTTGTCTGTAAACGGGG